AGGAACCTGGCCCAGGTTTAATTACAAATAAATAATAAAATCATCACCTTCTGTTTTGAGTTGTCTCAACTCCGGTTTTCCCATCCCTGTGTAGCAATTCCAGTGAGAAACCACAATTTTTGCTCAGGTAGTGGAAGGAAAAACCATCAATTTTGGATTAATCATTTCTGCCCTTGCGATTTCTTTTAAATCAATAAAATATTTCATTTTCTGGTCATTAGAAATGCTGAGTATTGACTCTTTGGGACATTTGAGCTTGTTATCATCCCTTGTGTTAATTCACAAAAATGACATCTTTAAGCAGCCAGGCCAAGCCATGTGAAATATTTAACTTGGTGTCCTCTAAAACACAAGTAATTACTGAAAATGAGTTCATGTTTCCTAGGAAAATATCTTTTCAAAGCAGGATTTCCTCAAACATTTTCTACTTAAAACGATCAGGTAACAGGGAAATCTTTCTGGAAAATTGCTTTTAACCCAGAATTAATTCTGTTCAAAATATTTCTTTTAAAGNGGAAGGTGCTCAGCTCAGGAGAGGTTCTGGCATTAAAATCCCTGCCGAGAGTGAATTCTGAGCACTCTGTGCCCCTTTTAGGACAAAAATCCCAATTCTTGTTAATCAGTACTTGGAGATAATACACAATTTTTACATTATTATTTCAGAGTCCTTGTGCAGTTTCAGTTTTTGGTTTTATTTGCTGCTGGGGGTGCAGGTGAAGCCCTGCCTGTGCCAGGATTGTCCCTGTCCCCTTCCCTTGCTGACCTGGTGCCTTCTCTGCAGATGAGGATGAGGATGGCGATCGGATCACGGTCAGGAGCGACGAGGAGATGAAGGCCATGCTGTCCTATGTGAGTGCACTGCCACAAATCCTCATTTTTCCCTGTGGTTATCATATTTTTTGGTGTTTTGTTGTCCCACAGTGTTTGGCTGGGCCTTATCCCCGTGTTCAATTCCAATTTTTGATGTTCTGCATGGAATGGAGGTGGTTTCACACCAGATCCGTGGGCAGGCTCCACTTCAAAAAGAAAAAAGACTTGTTCACTTACTGATCATATCATAAACATTAAGAATAATGCATCTTAATGACTTTTGCATTAGGTATAGTGCAGGCTAAATGGACTATCAATTTCTTGTATTTTTTATGCAGTACTTAAAGTAACGGCTCATTAAAAATGAACCCCTGGGCTCTAAAAATTTTTCAAAATCTACTTTCATCTGGAGACTGCCTCACCCCTCCTCACAGAGGAGTTTCATTGTAGCTGCAGGCTCAATATTCATGGAGGATTTAAAGATGTGGTTTGTGTTTTTCAGGGCAGATGGATGTGCCTGTGTGTGCCTTTGTGTAGGTAGGGCTGTGTGAAATCTCTGCATCCCCAGAAATAGAAATAGAAATAAATATAAATATAAATATAAATATAAATATAAATATAAATATAAATATAAATATAAATATATCCCATTAATAGAAATCTCCTGCAGGAGGGGAAGGGAGAAACTGATGGCCACAGAACCATTTGGATAAAGGGGGAAAAAAATATCCCTGAACTTCTCTTTTCAAAGGAAATGAGTGGGCAGGAGGGGTAAAAATGGGGATTTTCCCTGTGGTCCAGAAGGACCAAAATTCCCATGAATGACCTGGGAGATCCCAGCCCTGTTTGGGAGCACCCAGAGCTGATTTTGGGGGAATCCAGAGGATCCCAGACTGGTTTGGGTGGGGAGGGAGCTGAAATCCCAGCCAGGGAACATTCCCAGGCTGCTCTGGAAATTCCAGCCAGGAATTCCTTCCCAAAATCCCACCCCAATTTCCCATTTCCCACTCTGGATCCATTCCCTCTGTCCTGTCCCTCTCCAGCTCTCCTGTAGGATCTCAGAGCATCTCCTGCTCCTTCCCTTCTCCAGGAGAACATTCCCAGCTCTCCCAGCCTGGCTCCTCCCCATGCTCCAGGTGGCTTTTGGGGATTCTTTTGTCTCCCCAGATTCTTGGGAATTCCAGCTTGGGGAAGGTTTTAAGGAGGGAATTCCAGCTTGGGGAAGGTTTTAAGGAGGGAATTCCAGCTTGGAGAAGGTTTTAGGGAGGGAATTCCAACTTGAGGAGGGAATTCCAGCTTGGGGAAGGTTTAAGGGAGGAAATTCCAGCTTGGGGAAGGTTTAAGGGAGGAAATTCCAGTTTGGGAAGGTTTTGGGGAGGGAATTCCAGTTTGGGGAAGGTTTTAAGGAGGAAATTCCAGCTTGGGGAAGGTTTTGGGGAGGGAATTCCAGCTTGGGGAAGGTTTTGGGGAGGGAATTCCAGCTTGGAGAAGGTTTTAGGGAGAGAATTCCAGTTTGGGGAGGGAATTCCAGTTTGGAGAAGGTTTTAGGGAGGGAATTTCAGTTTGGGGAGGATTTTGGGGAGAGAATTCCAGCTTGGGGAAGGTTTTGGGGAGAAAATTCCAGCTTGGGGAAGGTTTTGGGGAGAAAATTCCAGCTTGGGGAAGGTTTTGGGGAGGGAATTCCAGCTTGGGGAAGGTGCTCAGCCTCAGGAGAGGTTCAGGCACTAAATCCCAGCTAAGAGTGAATTCTGAGCACTCTGTGCCCTTTCCCTCCCTTTTTGGCTCCAGCAGCTCCCCCCCCCCCCCAGAATTCCCTCTTTTCCTGGGAAATCTCAGCCATGTTTTGCCTTCCAAGTGGCAAACTGTCCGGTTTTCTCGGCTGTTTGAGGGGCCTGGAAAGGCCTGGGGTGGCCTTGGGGCAGCCCCGTATCAAAGGACGAGAAGAGGCTTCAGTTCTTCTTTCGGTTTTTATGTTTATTAATTGTTTATCTAAAAGATTTTCTCTCGGCCCGACAGAGCTCTGCTCAGCAGCCAGCCATGAGCACACTCCCTGCCCTCCGGACAGTCACCTATCTTTATACCCATGGTTACGTGTACAATATTTATCATTTTTCCCCAATCCTTTTTATTCTTATTGTCCGGTGCACTTTCAGTAATGACCAATGCCAAAGTGCCACCATCACCACAGAAGATGGAGGAGAAGAAGAAGAAGAAGAAGGACAGGACACGCCCCAATTCCTCCATCTTACTTCTCTAAACCCCCCTGTACAGAAATCCTAAACCCTGTGTTTCACTCTCTAATTAACCAATCCCTTCACCATTCACTCCGGTGAAACCCTCCTGTCCTCATACAGGTGTCGTCTCCTGTGTAGGATCAAAGTCCAGCCACCAGACACTTCTGGAACATTCCAGGACTCCCGAGCCCCCCAGGGGTGCTCTCGGTGACACCTCAGGACTCAGATCCTGAGATCCCACAGCAAACTTTGAATTTTCCCCCACGCCTTGGGAAGGCCATTTTTTTGCTATGCTCCCCAGCTCACTGTTCAAGTTTCAGTACATTAGAGTTGTGATTGCCCAACTCTCTGCTTTCCCTGCAAAATTATGGGATGCCTGGAAATGACTTCTTTCTGCTCCAGCGGCTTCTTCTTCTCTGAAAAATTCTTCTCCTCAGTTTTAAACTAATTTTTTATTTGATGGTTGAACTTCCTCGCGTGCTGTGGGCTCCGTTTGGGATGTGTTTGCCAGGAAATAAATGTTGTGAGCCTGGGGAATGGATTCATTCGGAATCCTGGGGAAGAGAAATGCTCACTGTGAGGCCTGCAACCAATACTGGGAGCATTGGCCGGCTGGGAAAGCGTTTCAGGGAATTCTGATGTGCTGCAGGTGTTCTCTGAAATGTAAATAAAGTGGATTTTTTTTCAGTTTATGGAGAAAAAAACAATTCCCTGAGATTTTGGAGCATATTATAACTGGGAAGATATGAACATGTTATAACTGGGAAGATATTTGGGGTCATTTTAGTATTTGGGGTAATTTTGATTTTTTTTTGAGTAATTTTGATTTTTTTTATTTGGAGTAATTTTAATGTTTATTTGGAGTAATTTTGATGTTTATTTGGAGTAATTTTGATGTTTATTTGGAGTCATTTTGATGTTTATTTGGAGTCATTTTGATACTTATTTGGAGGAATTTTGATATTTATTTGGAGTAATTTTGATACTTATTTGGAGTAATTTTGATTTTTTTTTGGAGTAATTTTGATGTTTATTTGGAGTAATTTTGATGTTTATTTGGAGTAATTTTGATACTTATTTGGAGTAATTTTGATGTTTATTTGGAGTCATTTTGATAATTTTTTTTGAGTAATTTTTTTGAGTTTTTTTTTTTTTTAGTAATTTTGAATTTTTTTGGAGTAATTTTGATATTTATTTGGAGTAATTTTGACTTCTTTTTTTTGAGTAATTTTGATATTTATTTGGAGTAATTTTGATATTTGGGGTCATTTTGCTACTTATTCGGAATAATTTCAATATCTATTTGGAATTATTTTGATATTTTGAATAATTTGAAACCTTCCCTTTAGGTTCTTTGCTTTATGAATTTGACAAGACCTTAATTGAGGTCTGGAATTCCCTGGGATGCTGCAGCAATGCTTTGGATCAGGCCGATGTTGGGGGGTGTAAATGGGATTTTTTCAGGGCCGGGCAGTGCAGTTAATTAAGGAGCTGTTGCCTTGTATCTGTATAAAAAGGCAGTAATTTTTTTGACAGCCACTGATTGGAAAGTTGCTTGCAGCTCTCTGAAAGCAAGGGCTACACGCTGTGGATCAATAAGTGGCAAATTTCCCATTAAAAAGAATACCTGAACAATGTTCCAAACAGCCACTGGCATCTTCATTTTCCACGGAAACCTCCACGCTGGCCTGTGGAGGACAAGCCATTTCCAGACAATTTTTCCAGACTACTTGTTAACAGTTATTGCTGTCCCAAAAGGTTGACAGCTTACATGATTGATATTTCATTTACTTGTCATCGCTGGTGAGTAATGGAGAGGCTTTTCCTCCCTCTCCCTCCCGCTCTGTTGTGGTTTTGGGGGGCAGGAGCCGCTCTCAGGTGGGTTTGTTCCAGCTGGTTATTCCAGGGATGGATCAGGAATGGTTCTGTCCCCACAAACATCCCCGTTCATTCCGTGTGGGGATGTCTGCAGGTCCTGGAATTCTCTTGGTGAAGTGGGAATTCCAAAGCTGAAAGCTCATCCCATGGGCAGGGAACAGCTTCCAACACCCCAGCCTGGCCTTGGATATCCCAGGGATCCAGGGGCAGCCCAAGGCCAGGAATTCCTTCCCAAAATCCATCTCAATGNAAACTTTTCCAGCTGCCAGGGTTGTTCCCATTCACCTCCAACTTTGGCTCTGCTGATGTGCTGCTCTGGAGCCCCTTTTCCTCTCAGCAGCACTGCCCTGACCCTCCTGAGCTATATTATATCATTCCATTTTGACACCTTTTATCAAACTTTAATGAAATGACCCAGGCAAACAAATTGTCATTAAACTTTCCATCACTTTGTCCCTTGGTATCGTCTTTTATAAATTGGACAGCAAATGTTGTATTGATCTTCTCGTTCTTGCAGCTGAACTTGAAATGACCCAGACTGCTTGTTGTTTATGGCCTGGAGTTGCTTTTCCTTGACATTTCCATCCCCAGCATGACATCTCTTTTGTTTTTCTTTCTTTCTTGTGGAGATGAATGAACAAGACATTCGATACCGAGACATCCTCGGCCACGGCAACGGCGGCACCGTCTACAAGTGAGTGGGGCTTTCACCTCTAAGCTGTCCCAAAAATTCAAATTTCACGGCGTTTTTACTTGTTATGTTTTGTGGTGCAGACAGGCCCTTTGCTGCTCTGCAGGGGAAAAATCTCGGGGTAAAGTTTTAAACCACTCTGGGGTGTTTAATTCTGGGTTGAGGGTTCACAGTGGGATTTGGGATGTCCTGGGTTGGAATCCAGGATTTGGGAATTCCTGCTGGCTCGCTGGGGGTGACACCATCAGGATCCTTCATCCCTTTTGCTGCTCTCCCTCCCTCCCAGCCTGACCAACTCCCCCAAATTTCAGTGCAGAAGCTCCAGCCCTGCAGCCAGGGTTAATTTTAATACTGTAAAAAAAAATTAAAATATCACAGATAGGACTCTCCTGTTGAGAAAACTCCTGCTCGTGCATCGTGCAAAGTTTAAACTACAGAATGTAATATCTGGGACTTAATAGTCTGCAGTGGGCTATGAAAAATATTCCTGTGGGAATTAAGAAATCCATACTTTGTCAGAAAGCCCTGAGGGAGCAATAAAGGTTTCCTCCAGAGAGCTGTTTACCATATACAGTAACCCAGCATCCCATTAGGGTTTTGTTTATACCTTAGACATTTTAACTCTGATATTAACATTTTTTTCCCCCCCACTAAAATGTTTTAAAAGCCACGGTGCATTTAGTTTGGTTTCTAATTGGCTGCCAGCATTGCAAAACAGCTCCTGGCTGAAGGTTGGATGGAAATGGAATTCCAGAGCCTCCAAGGGGAAATGCAGCCTTGGGGTGGACTCTTGAAATCAGGGTGGCCCTGAGGGTGGAGGGTGCTTCAGAAAGCTTTGCTTGGAGAAGGATGTTGAGGAAATGGTGCTGTTTTCTGGTTTTGTGGGAGATATGAATGTTGAGCTTTAGAGCTCAGACTGTTGGTGTTGGGTGGAGAGGCAGAGANTCCCTTGGAGTTTTCAAAGTGCCTGGTTTTGGGGTAATTTAGGGATTCCCTTGGAGTTTTCAAAGTGCCTGGTTTTGGGGTAATTTAGGGATTCCCTTGGAGTTTTCAAAGTGCCTGGTTTTGGGGTAATTTAGGGGATATTTAGGTTTTATTTGCACCAAGGCTTTGTGGCCGTGTTTGGTTTTCCTGGCTCCTCCAGCTGCTGCCTTTGCTGGAGGAGCAAATTTACAGCGTGGAATATTGCAAATATTGCATTTGCAGTATTCCATGCTGTGAATGTCTGATTTCCTCACCTGCTGCAGCATCCCCAGCTGTGGCCCCACAGCTCCCTGTTATAAATTCCTTTTTTTGGGAATGCTGCAGATGGACAGGAACCATCTGAAGGCTGATCTGCACCCTGGCAATCGCAGAGAAAATGAAAATACACAGAATTACACAGTCCATAAGCGCTTTTACCACTCCTGGGTTACTGACTCATCTCTTTTTTTTTGGTTTTTTTTTTTTGCAGTATTACTCCACTGTGATGGAGCAGCAAGTGAACGGACAATTGATAGAGCCTCTGCAGATCTACCCACGAGGTAAAGCTGAGCAAATCCCAACCCCAGCCTGGAACAGCTCCTGGCACGTTTTGGGGAGGTTGAAATGCACAGAGCATCGCGTTTAGCTCTTAATTTGGAGAGAGGAATTCATTCTTGTGGGGAGTGTGGAGAAAAGTGCATTTATTGCATAGAAAGCAGCTAATTTCCTGGAGTAAATTAGACTAACGAGGTTTGCAGAGTACATATTTAAGTACGTTTAAAGAACTCGCTGGTGATGGTTCTTTCCAAGCAAAGCAGATGAATAACTGAAGGCTTGGATGCTGATGAAAATTGGGCTTTTTAGAGCTGTTTTGATGTCATTAATCAGCCTGCCAGGCTGGGGAGTGTCCCTGTCACCACTGCAGCCACAGCAGCTCCAGCCAGGACAGGATTTTGTCTGAAATTTGGGCATTTATTTATTTATAATTATTATTTATATATGCCCAAATATTCACCAGCACTTCAATAATTCTGAACAGGGACAGATGTAATCAATGCTGTGGACTGAGGCTGTTCAAAAATAGGTCATCTCCAAGCTGGCAGAAATCCACAGGCAGCTCGGGAGGGTTTTTTTGGGAATGCTCTCCCTGAGCTCCAGGAATGGCTGGAAAAAGCCTCCTTAAAAAGCATTACACAATTCATTCAGCTCTCAGTGGCCAGGCTCTGAGTCTCTGCCTCTTAATTGATGGAACTGAGAAGGTTGAAATTCTCCAAGTAAATCTCCCAGCAATAAATTAATTGAAATAATTAAAAATTAAACTCCCCTCACTTAACAGATATTACACAAATAATCATACTGCGAGGCTCCCAATTAAACATTCCACACTTGCATTACTTACAACTCTCTGAAGTTTGAATTGGGCAATTAACAGGAGCCTCCTCAAGCCCTGCTAACGAGCTCTGCCAAGAGGCTGGGGGGGATTCCTGGGGCTCCCTTCAAAGGGGACAGGAATTTGGGGGGAATGGGGGAAATTGGGATTTATGGAAAATTGGCAAAGAGAGGGAGGGGTCTCCTGCCCCTTCCCAGGCATGGATCATGGAATCCTGGAATGGTTTGGGTGGGAAGGACCTGAAATCCCATGGATCCTGTCCAATCCCATCCCATGGATCCCATCCTATCCCATGGATCCATCCCATCCCATTAATCCAATATTAATGATTCCATTTTGTCCCCATCCCATGGATCCCATCCTATCCCATCCCATGGATTTCATGCCATCCCAACCAATATTAATGATTCCATTTCATCCCATCCCATGGATCCTATCCCATCTCCATCCTATNAATCTTTCTGGAAAATTGCTTTTAACCCAGAATTAATTCTGTTCAAAATATTTCTTTTAAAGCATAAATATGCAAGATACAAAAAATTTGCTTTAGATTTTTAAAGATTTTTCTTCAGATACAAGAATTTGCTTTAAATTTTTAAAAATTTGTCTTTAGATACAAGAATTTGCTGTGTGTTTCAAGGAAGACCACTTGGATTGAGGTTTCAGGCTGATTTTTCTTTAGATACAAAAATTTCCTTTGGATTTTTAAAAATTTTTCTTTAGATACAAAAATTTGCTTTAGATTTTTTAAGATTTTTCTTTAGATACAAGAATTTGCTGTGTGTTTCAAGGAAGACCACTTGGATTGGGGTTTCAGGCTGGTTTTTCTTTAGATACAAAAATTTGCTTTAGGTTTTTTAAACATTTTTCTTCAGATAGAAGAATTTGCTGTGTGTCTCAAGGAAAATCCCTTGGATTGGGATTCCAGGCTGATTATTCTTTAGATACAAAAATTTGCTTTAGGTTTTTTTAAAATTTTTCTTTAGATACAAGAATTTGCTGTGTGTTTTAAGGAAAACCACTTGGATTGGGATTCCAGGCTGATTTTTCTTTAGATACAAAAAATTTGCTTTAGGTTTTTTTAAATTTTTCTTTAGATAGAAGAATTTGCTGTGTATTTCAAGGAAAATCCCTTGGATTGGGGTTCCAGGACGATTTTACTTTAGATACAAAAAATTTGCTTTAGTTTTTTTAAAATTTTTCTTTAGATAGAAGAGTTTGCTGTGTATTTCAAGGAAAACCACTTGAATTGGGGTTTCAGGCTGATTTTTCTTTAAATACAAAAAATTTGCTTTAGATTTTTAACAGTTTTTCTTTAGATAGAAGAATTTGCTGTGTGTTTCAAGGAAAACCACTTGGACTGGAGTTCCAGGCTGATTTTTCTTTAGATACAAAAATTTGCTTTAGTTTTTTTAAAATTTTTCTTTAGATACAAGAATTTGCTGTGTGTCTCAAGGAAAACCACTTGGATTGGGGTTCCAGGCTGATTTTTCTTCAGATACAAACACTTGGTTTAGATTTTTAAAAATTTTTCTTTAGATACAAGAATTTGCTGTGTGTTTCAAGGAAAACCCCTTGGATTGGGGTTTCAGGCTGATTTTTATTTAGATACAAAAATTTCCTTTGGATTTTTAAAAATTTTTCTTCAGATAGAAGAATTTGCTGTGTGTTTCAGGGAAAACCACTTGGATTGGGATTCCAGGCCGATTTTACTTTAGATACAAAAATTTGCTTTAGGTTTTTTAAAATTTTTCTTTAGATACAAGCATTTGCTGTGTTTCTCAAGGAAAACCACTTGGATTGGATTTTCAGGCTGATTTTACTTTAGATACAAAAATTTGCTTTAGATTTTTTAAGATTTTTCTTTTAATAGAAGAATTTGCTGTGTGTTTCAGGGAAAACCACTTGGATTGGGGTTTCAGGTTGATTTTTCTTTAGATACAAGAATTTGCTGTGTGTTTCAAGGAAAACCACTTGGATTGGGGTTCCAGGCTGATTTTTATTTAGATACAAAAATTTCCTTTGGATTTTTAAAAATTTTTCTTCAGATACAAGAATTTGCTGTGTGTTTCAAGGAAAATCCCTTGGATTGGGGTTCCAGGCTGATTTTTCTTCAGATACAAACACTTGGTTTAGATTTTTTAAGATTTTTCTTTAAATAGAAGAATTTGCTGTGTGTTTCAGGGAAAACCACTTGGACTGGAGTTCCAGGCTGATTTTTCTTCAGATACAAAAATTTCCTTTGGTTTTTTAACAGTTTTTCTTTAGATAGAAGAATTTGCTGTGTGTTTCAGGGAAAATTACTTGGATTGGGATTCCAGGCTGATTTTTCTTTAGATACAAAAATTTGCTGTAGGTTTTTTTAGATTTTTCTTTAGGTACCAAACTTTTCCAGCTGCCAGGGTTGTTCCCATTCACCTCCAACTTTGGCTCTGCTGATGTGCTGCTCTGGAGCCCCTTTTCCTCTCAGCAGCACTG